GGCCAGCTCTGGGCCTGCTGTGGTCCCGCTGTCTCTGACACAGGCACGAGACACAGAGCTTAGGATGCAGAAACAAGGACTGGTAGTCAGAGCGCTTCAGCGTTGAGAGACTAGGGGTTCTCTGAATCCCTTTTCTTCCCTTTTCTGGGACACAGAGAGGAATTTATGTCATACTTGCACTGAACAAAGGTGACTTTGTAAAAGATTCTGGGTGATTAGGTAAAGTTTCAGGAAAGGAAGTTTGTTCTTGGACTTCATATATACAACAGTAAATGATCAGGGGTTTCTGTAAAGGTTTGTCAACAGAGGCTTATGTTAAACTGATGTGTATACACACTGTGGTTTACCACTCTGCAGAACTTAGAAAAAGCATGTTATCCTTCTACAAATAGTCAAAGCATACTAAGTACCAGCACACAGGCTTCCTGGAGTCAAACAGCCCATGCCACTGTGAAAGCTGGGGACGGAGTAACCCTGCCAGCCACACGCTGGGCCACAGGCTCGAAAGCTGTGTTCTGAAATCACAGTACAGCTCAGGTGCCTGAACCCAGCATGCCAGGGTGGGTGCCGGTTAGACCTGTGCCTGGCTAACCCCCGTCTGGTTGTCCTTGGTGTTGCTGGACTCCGACGAGCACTCGCTGGCCACGCGTGTACGTGCTCTTTGCTTTATTCAGGGTTTTGGGCTGATATCTCGAGTCTCCTCTTACTTTCATTAACATTTGGGAAAACCACCAGGCCACTGGGATAAACAGCATCCTTCTGATGGTCTCGTCTGACCTCTAGGCCTCCCTGGTCTCTCTCTACTTTTTGTTTTCTTTTTTTTTATGTTTTTAGCATAGGGTCTACAGGGTCTCACTACACAGATTGGACTTGTAGTAATCCTCCTGTTTTCAGCCTCCTAAGCACTGGGATTACAGGTGTGTGCCACTATGCCCAGTCTCAATTCACCACTATGCCCAGTCTCAATTGCCATCTCAGTGCGCCTCAAGGGGCTGGGCCAGCATGGCACACCAGGGATCGAACCCCGGCCACTGCGCTCTGCCTGAGCAGGTGCTTCTGTCCATTGAGCTATCTGGCTGGCCCTTTGTTTTCTTTCTAAAAGGGAGTGTATTAAGGTAGGATTCATGTAATGTATGATTCAACTATGTGAAGCATGCAATCTAGTGCTTCATATGTCCTCAGCACTGTGGCCATCACCACTGCCAACAGTAGAACATTTTTATTACGCCCCAACGAAACCCCACACCCGATAGTAGTGCTTTCTGTCCCTTCCCATCTCGTGGCCAACCACTAAGCTACTTTTCATCTCTGTAGACTTATTGTCATAGACGTTGTATCTATGTGTAAATACAGTGTCTTTTGTAACTGGTTTCTTGCAGGTAGTAGAGTGTTGTCAAAGTTCACCTGTGTTCAGCACATACCCATGTCTTTAATCCCTGTCTGTGGCCAAACACCGATCTATTAAAAGAACCATGTGGTGTATGAACTACTGGCCATCTTGTGACACCCAGATGACCCGAGTCAGCCGGGTGCCGGGGGCAGAAGGCCCACCTGAGGATTGTTGCCCACAGAATAAAAGGAGAACTAGAGGGGAAGATTGCCGTTGGTTCCCTGGGGAAGCTTGCCACACTGGTTTTCCGGGTACGAAGTCAGCGGTTGTCACCCTCCGAGGAGCTCGTGCTCTGCAGGGAGCGGTGCTGCTACGCTGAACATCGCTGCTGGCTCCAGTGCAGGCCCTCAGCCCGCCGGCACATTCACTCTGGCTTCCGCCACCGACCTTTGGGCCTCCCCAGTGTAGATCCTGGTAGAGATGCGCGTGCGTCGTAGCTGTGGGCTCTAGGCCTGCAGCCGGGCTTGTGCGAAGCACTGCTGTGGGACCCAGGCCCTCAGCTGGACTCTCTGGCTGTCCGGTGTGTGGACGGGTCCCTTGTGCTCTTCTGCACGTGACAGTTTGGGTGAACGTTATTGAACAACCCTATGATTATGTGTCCAATATGAAGTCCATTCCCTTGCAAACCCTGACTACAACAAACCGTATCTTATGTGACCATTTATTTGTTGATGGATATTTGGGTTGTTTTCACTTTCTGGGTACCGTACAGAGTACCAGAAAGTACTGATGCTGTGCAGCATCTGTGTGTGAGCTTTTGGGCAATGCAGGTTATTTCTATTAGGAGTCGGGTTGTTGGGTTATAAGCACCTCTGCTTCACATTTTGCGGAAGCTCCAAAACTACTTCCCAATGTGGCTACACAACTTTACACTCCTGCCAGCGGTGCCTGAGTGCTTGCACTTCCCTGCGTGCTCCCCAGCGGTTACCGTCTTTCGAGCAAAAGCCATCCTAAGCGGTATGAGTTGGTGCCTCTTGGTGGTTTTGTTTTACCAGCTCATTTTATTATAACTCAGCTGCATGGCTCCAGTGGGCTTCTCAGAGGGTGTGGAATTAAAAATCTAGGTCATGGAGAAAGTGGGGGGCAGGCTAGACCTCGTCCTGTCCTCTGGACAGATTCCTTATTGTCACTAATGATGGTAAGGATATTGTACATGTTTTTTAATGCTTCTTGGGCTTTTGTATATCTCCTTTAGAAAAGTGCCTATTTCTAGCCTACTCAACTTTTTCGCCCATTAAAAAATGGGTTGTTGTTGTTATTATTATATCGAGCCCAGAGCCTTTGCTCTAAGCTATGCTTGCAGCCCTTTTCTTTTTTCTTTTTCTTTTCAGACAGGCTCCCTGAGCTGACCTCACTGTGGCTCTGGTGGGCTTCTCAGACCCAGGAGATTCCCCTGGGTCAGCGTCTTAGAGTACCAGGATCACATGCGTGGGCCCCCATGCTTAGCTCCTTTTCTTTTTCTTATTAAGTTGTAGAATTCTCCATGTATTTTAGGTTTGATTCTTTGATCAGAAATATGACTTGTGAATGTCTTCTTATCAGTTGTATCATTTCGTCATTGATGGTGTCATTTGTACCACAAAGGTTCTTAAATCAAAGAAGTTGAATTTGTCTATTACTTACTTTACTTGTGCTATTGGTGGGCAGCTAAGAAGACTTTGCCTGACCCAGGGCCACAGTATTTATTACTGTGCTTCTTTTAGGGGTTTTTAGGGCAAAAGGTATGGCCGGCCACAGTGTGCTGAGCTGGCCTGTGGGAGGCCCTGGTTACATTTCTTCAGAAAGGTGCATGGTTTCCCTCTTCCCTTCAGGCCCGGCGTCACTTCTGAGTTGGTTTTCGGGTGTCATATGTGGAAGGGCTTCACGTGCGCCGTCCAGCAGTCCTGGTGCCACCCAAGGCAGGCAGCGCTTTCCCCCAGCACACTGTGGCTACGCAGGGAAGCCCTCACAGGGTACATGAGGCTGTGTCGCAGTCCTGGCCCACCACCTATGTCTGTCCTTGTCCTACCCCACCCTGTCTTGGTACCTGCTCCTTTGTTTTGTCGCCTTTTCTGGGGAGGTCTAGGGCAGGAGGGAACAATCTAGGCTTTTTCTTGCCTCGATCTGATCAGCTATTGGATTCTTAAATCTGCCCTCAAAGTTGTACGACAATGCATTCCTCTGTGTTTCTCTCTGTGATGCGGCCCCTCGCTGGCTCCCCAGGAAAGGTGGGCACCCAGTGACCCTGAGCAGTCCCACTCAGCTGGGGCCTGGGTTTTCTCGCAGCAGGCCCAGCTGACCTCACTGTGGCTCTAGTGGGCTTCTCAGAGGTATAGAATTAAACGTGGGCAGGTGGGACTCTGTGCGGGCTCCGGACAGGTCTCGGTGTCATCACTTCAGGCTGCCAGCCTGAACATAGGGTCGGTGGTGCCTGGGGTCTATGGTGCACTGCCTGCAGCTCCTGCTGTTCTTGTCTGTTGAGAATCATGTACAGCACCACCACCTAGAGCCTGCTGGCCCGGGCTTGTTTTGTTACTTTTAAAGAGAAAGGAAAAAAGAAATCAAAACCGGGTTTGGTTGTGCACACCTGTAATCCCAGGATGAGGGAGGCTGAGGCAGGAGGATCATTGCAAGTTTGAGACCAGTCTGGGCTACGAAGTGAGCTCAAGACCACCCTGAGCTGTATAGCAAGACCACGTCTCTAAAACCCCACTAGCACCACCAACAGAACAATCAAAATGACACAGAAGTGAAATAAATCAGACTTGCAAGTGTAAATTGTCTTGCTAGTGTAACAAACCAAAGGAGTAAACCAGACCCAAAAGCTACAACAGAGGTCTGGAAAGGGAAAGAAACTGCTCAAAAGGCCCTGTGAAATCTAAGCAGAGTTTAAGCAAACTTGAACTTCTGTTTGTGCACCAAGGCCTGCTAGTAGGGCCCCACCCTCCACTGGTAGGGCTGAGCCCAGTGTGTGGTTCAGTGTGCCGGGCTGCAGCCCCCTCTCGTGGTCTTGGGCAGGCTCCTCCATCCACCAAGGCCTCCATCTCCTCCTCCTAAGGTGTAGCAAAGCGGCACCTCCCCACCCCCGCCCCCAGTTATTACAGCGGAGACCGGAACGGACCCAGCACAGGCGACAGCTGGCAAGCCGTGGGCCTGGAGAGCAAGTCGAGGCCAGGTGGCACCACAGGGCTCAAGTTTCTGCTGCACACAACTGCTCGGCCCTGCTCCCTGTGGCTCCAAGGCCCCGCGGACAGTCTGCAGTCAAGCAGGGCGGCTGTGTTCCAGTGACAAGAAACAGGGTCTCACAATGCAGTTCAGGCTGGACTGGAACTCACAGTGTAGCCCAGGCTGGCTTCAGACTCCTGGTGATCCTCCTGCCTCACAAGCGCCAGGATCCCAGGTGTGCGGCTCCGCGCCCATCTGACGCTCCACTCAGAGCTTTAGTTTTGACTGCTTTTGCGCTGCTGGGATCAGACCCAAGGTCTTGGGCCTGCGCAGGGCGCGCAGTGCTACCACTGCGCCTCGGGGCAGCACGAGGTGCAGTTTCAGATGCCAGGGCCTCCTGGGCCTCAGCTCCAGGCGCCGGCCCGTGGCGTCACGCTCCCGAGCTCACTCTACTTGTTTTTAACAGAATGTCGAGGTCCTAGCCAGCCGGAGCAACGCTTCAGAACAGAGCCAGCTGGGGGCTGAGATGCGGGAGCAGGCGCTGCTGGAGGAGAAGGAGAAGCTGCAGGGCAGAGCCGAGGAACTGGAGCGCAGGGTGGTGGAGCTGCAGGCACAGATGGAGGACAGCAGAGGAGGCGAGGCCCACGCGGAGGAAGCGCTCCGGAAGTGCGAGGTGAGGGTCTCCCGGGTATACGGGTGAGGGTC